ATTATCTTACTGAAAACTTGTCGAAAGTTCATATTAATGTAAATTTCGTTTCTTTATCTGATACTGAAGGAAGTCTATCATTATGTATCATTGCCCATTGTTCAACAATGCCAACAGTTTCACATCATATAAAAATGGGTATCAATGTGTGTGGTCCATTTGAAATGTATTTCGTTTTACCAATATTTTTTTTGTTTGCCGTCATTATTTGTCTACTCTCCATGTTGTGTACTTTACTGTTGTCATGAGTAGTGCCTCTCAAAAAAAGCGCTTGATTGACAGAAATTTTAAAAAAACGAATAAAGAAGAGAGAAAAAAGAAAAATAAGTAAAGCCTGTTTATGTTGCACAAGTAACACAAGGGTCCTTCGACAAACAAACGACGCATTTTGCATATACAACATTCAACCAATTTGGAAATTATTATTATTGAAATTTTTTGAAAAATTTTATTTTGATTATTGCATCTGGGTAAGTAACTTACGACCATGATTCCGAAGCAGATCTTCAAGATTTTTAAACGTCATCAGTATAACGGAAGTATGACTAGAATATTCATTACAAAGAATCGAGACAGAAGTGAAATAGATATTCATCCCGAACTTCCGCTTATCTGATCAACTAATGAGTTTTTCTTAGTCAGAAGTCTATCAAGTGTATTTACCTGTATGAATCGCACACAATTTTATTGATTTAATAGATCTTTCTTGTACAATTTTGTCCACATTTTACATAGTTAGCTTTCTACGTGTGTGTCCTATTCTATTTATGACCTTTTCGTGATTTTCGATATTGAGATCGAACTATTAAAATAATGTCACTGGCTATTTCATAAGATAAGGCCTAAAGACGATACCTTCACGCTTCGCAAGTTTACCTATCGAGAAGAATGAGTGGATCGTTAACAGCTTGTGTGAAACCTTTGTGTAACATAAAAATGCTTAGCAGTGAAACCAAAAACCTTTTCAGGATTGGTATGGATGTGTGGGTGTAGGTGTTGAGTGTGGTGAAAATAAGAGCCACATCCACCCACTCTCTCCACACACCCACATCCAAACACCTACATTTAATAAACTAAGCTCAAACATCCAATCCCACCTATCGATGTGCTGAGTACAAGTACCTCAGATTCGGTTAGACTCGCTTAGGCTCTGGCTGAGCTTAAGTCCGACCAAACCTGACCATGGCAAAGCTGAGCTCCACCTGCTCGGTCTAGACTCGAGCTCGGCACATGCCTAATTCCACTCACCACTATTACATCTACATTCAATCAGGATGCGGGTGTGGATCTGGGTGTGATGCTTTGTGGATAGGTGTGAGTGGGTGTAGTTATGGTGAGCGAGCTGTGGCAACACACACACACCTTGTCATGCACATCCAAACACGCGCACTCAATTATCCGTGCATCAACAATCACTGAGAATCCCTCGTACCCCCACCCAGACTTAAATATGGTCACAATACGTTGAATATCTGAATGAATTTATATTCGTTCACGATTTTTAGTGCATTTCTACTGGGTTAACATTTGTGGTTTCCATAGAGCTCTGGGGGATAGCTTCGAACCTGGAAAAACTTCGTTTGTTCCGTTTCGTGAGATAAACGCGGTCGAGACAATTCGAAAATAATGTTGTTCTGATATTTTCGGGTTTGTATATCGATATCCATTGTAAATTTAGATTTCATATTTTTCACAAACATTTTAGTATTTAAATAAAGTGTCAAAGAATAACACAAAAAAACCAAGCTGCGAGAGGCTTTAATATCTACTTCTTATCATTTTCTTTATCAGTTATTTGACCTGTAAGGCTATTTAAGCACATTTGTTTATTTGGTTGAAGAACTTCACCGATCAATCAATGTATGGATGACAAAGAGAGTGTATTAAATTACAGTTGTACTTCAAATTAATCTTTTTTTCTAAACTTCACTACAGGCAGATACAGTTTTTAATATTCGAAGTTCAGATATTTCGCTCGTTCAACAGCAAACTTTAAATTTTATCCGTATCTGAACGTTTTTCCTGATCGACATTGTATAGCCAAAAATACTTATTAGAAATTCGTAAATCATCTCCTAATCATAGATATGAATAAATTGTTTCGATTGATCGTATACACTCTAAAAAAAAAGCGTTTTCTCAGAAACCGAAACCCCTTCGAAAACCCTTTCCAAAACTCTTGAACGTATCCGGAAAGGTTTCCGGACTCATGTTCAGTTTCTGAAAATATCTTCAGGGTTTCCGAGTATCCGGAAACCTATGGGTTTTCGAAATATAGGTCCGCAAACCCTCAAACGTATTCTCAGAAACCCTGGTACTCTTTTTGAAAACCAAAAGTTATCCCCGGAAACCTTCTCTGATTTAAAAACCTTCTCAAAAACCTTTGCGTTTCCGATAATTTTTTTATCGAAAACGTTTTTGGGTTTCCGAGCATCAGAAACGGTGGAAGCGTTTCCGAAAAATTGAGCATGGTTTCCGAACATCTATTGGAAACCCTTCAGGGTTTTCGAATTTTCAGAAAACCCTTGCGTTTCCGAAAAAAAGCTCGGAAAACCTATCCAGTATTCTCAAACACAGAACTAGCATTCGGATATCTTCTTTTTGATTCTTTTGTTACGATCGCTATTTTAGAAGTGTAGGAAATGCACGACATGCATGATATAAACCTTATTCAATTTATGTGGAATTGTTGTGTAAAATCATTAGAACTCTGAGAATTCAAAAGAAAATACATTGTTCCTGAGAAAATTTCGACTTGTTTTTACATCTTTCAATACCTAAAAACTTGAATAGATTACGACAAATTTTTCTGTGGGGATCGAAGAGCTGCATTAAATCGCTAGATGAATCAAAGAATGCCGTCTTTCTCCTTCTTCATTCATTTTTGTTTCATCCAAGTACAGGCATTATCATCCCTATCAACAGATTGCAACAGAATATAGTGCAAATTTCAGCCGTTTGAGGATCCTTTCAACCGAATTATACAGAAGATTGATAGGAGAGGAATGATGGAAAACATGAAGAAATCTTCATTTGCGAGAGAATGTAACAGAGATACTAGATGTCTCGGAGTGTTTGCAACATAATTTATTCTCCATATATCTCCACAAATGTACATGATAAAATCTTAAATTTTTTCAAATTATACGTCGTGATATTCTGTACAATAGTCAAAATAAAAGATCCTCTTGGTTTGTGCTAATAGATTTGGAGTAAGCCAAAAGAAAAGATGTATCAGATGTGGTAGTTTCGCACTTTCATACCGATTTAAGCACTTAAAAAAAAACACATTTACTATTCAAATCAAATCATATGCACAAAAACTCATTTCTGAATACCATCATCTCAATAAAGTGAGCATTTTCATTTCGAAAATAGTCGGAAAGAATGAAAGGTCTGCGAAATGTGATTGTTGTTTAGATGAAGAGAAAAAACAAATTCTGGACAGTGAGAAACTATAAATTCTCATACGCTTTGCCTTTTAGCTCGCTCCAAATCTATTAGCACAAGTCACAAGAATTTCTGCGTTCACCTATTAGAGAGAATGCCATGAGCTATCGTTTCAAAAATAAGTTGATGTTTTCATGAATCGTCTGTTTGAAGACAAACAAAATAAAATATCTTGGAAGCTTTCTGAGAAAAACGGTAGATATGTATTTCTTCACACCGCAAGATGCAGTTTTTCCAACTGATCCGATTAATAATCCGAAAAAAGCGAACACGAAAACTGCAGTTCACCGGTAACAAAACTAAAGACACCAACATTCTACCTTCGACACCAATACGGAAACCAGAAGTCAGACTACATTAAAGACTTTGACTTCAATACGCAAAAAACTTTCACCACTATAGGACTCCCTTGACTTGATGACTCTGAGTTCGACAGAACATAAGACCTCATGACATTACTAACTTCCTAGCACTGACTTTGAGAGACATGAAGACTTGAAATCTTTAACTGACTTCATGACGATAGCTTTGAGAGATGTCAAGACTCTAACAAAACGAGACTGACTTTACGACTCTTAGTCAAAAAACATACAGACTCGATGACTAAGACTGACTTTGTGATTATGACTTTCAGATACAGAAAGAAAGCAGGACTAAGACTAACTTTTTCACTCAGTCTTTCGCACGAAGACATAAAGACTATAGCAATAAGACTGACAGAACGACATCTGTTTTCCGAGACATGAAGACTCCAGAACTCAGACAAAATAAATGACATTCTATTTAGGAGATGTCGAACTTCCACCAATTTAGCGGGCTTCATGACCGTGAATCTGAATAACGAGAACACTGGAGGGATCTCATTAAGTTCATCTCTCCGTCTTTCAAAAGATTCACCATTTTGACTGACATCATGTCTAACTCCTAGACAGATTTCAAAATATTAGGACTACAACGGACAATATGACTCTGGAAATAACATTCGTCTACACTACGACACTATCACCAGTTCCATGACACTCACTTTAGCAGACATGAACAATCAAGAACTTTGACGAAATTCATGAGTTTACATTAAGGAGCTATTCCACTCTATTTATACTACGGCCACATCTTCACAAATATCAAACTCAAATCGACATGTAGGAGTCAAATTACGGAGTTACAATCACTCGACACATATAGATTACTGACTTACACCAACACGATGCTATAAGGGGTTACAATAACGGGATACAATAACGCATTAGATATAGAATAAGGAGCCAGATAAATGGGATATATATATTCCACAGAATCAGCGGACAGATATACATTAAGCACTTAGATTAAGCGCTACAATGAGGCAATAGAATAAGGGCTAAGAATAAGCGGAAAGATATACATTAAGGGCATAGATCAGGGATTAGCGTAAGCGGTTAGATTAAGGAGTTAGATTGACAGCATAGAATCGGTGGTCAGATTTAGGGATAGAATAAGGGTTAGATTAAGGTGATAAATTAAGGGGATATATATAGATTAAGGGGTTAGAATAAGGGGTTAGGTTAAAGGGTTAGAATAAAGGGATAGATTAAGGATAGAATAAGGGGATAGAATAATGGTTAGATTAAGGGATAAAATAAGGGGATAGATTAAGGGGATACAGTAAGGGGATAGAATAAGGTGTTAAACAAGGGGTTGGATTAAGGTTATAGATTAAGGGGATAGGATAAGGTGATATACATAGATTAAGGAGTTAGAATAAGGGGTGAGATTAAGGAATAGAATAAGGGGATAGAATAAGGGTTAGATTCAGGGGATAGAATAAGGAGATATGTATAGTTTAAGGAGTTAGAATAAGAGTTTAGAATAAGGGGTTAGATTAAAAGCATAGAATAAAGCGATAAAATAAGAGTTAGATTAATGGATAGAATAAGAGTTAGATTAAGGGGATAAATTAAGGGGACAGAAAAGGGAATACATTAAGGGATAGAATAAGGGATAGATTAAGGAATAGAATAAGGGTTGGATTAAGGGATAGAATAAAGGGATATATATAGATTAAGGAATTAGAATAAGGGGATATATATAGATTAAGGAATTAGAATAAGGGG